GCCGATCTGCCAGGATCCATGCTGGCTCGGGGTCCACGTGGCGGCGCCGCCTCATGTGGGCGCACCCCTCAGGCGTTTCGTGGCCCCACATGGAGCTCCCCCGAAGGCCCCGGCGGCATGGCCCCATGGCGGTGCCGCCCATGTGGGCGCACCCCTCGCACGGTTCGTGGTCCCACATGGAGCTCCACTGACGGCCCCAGTGGCAGGTCTACATAGCGGCTGCGCCCCATTTGGGCGCACCCTTCGCTCGGTTCGCAGCCCCGCATGGAGTTCCACCGGAGACCCTAGCAACGTGGTCCACATGGCGGCGCCGCCCCATCTTGGCGCACCCCCAACGCAATCGTGGCCCCACTTGGTACCCACAGCTGCATATGGTTGGGTGTTTCGCCAGGCTTATCTCAGTCCAGGTCCTAATCGGCCTTTGCGAGGCCCCGTGGGCGACCGCGAGGGATTCTTTGAGTTTCTTGACATGCGTGGCCTCCCGCTCTTCGGCGCGAAAAAATTAAGTTACGTCGCCTGCTTGCTGCGTCACGCGCGGGGCGGACTTCGCTACCATTGTGCCCACAACGCATCCTGCGTACGTTTGTGATGCTGGCATCGAGGTTACAGATTGGAGACCAAAAGTGCCGCGATCACTTCGGCGCCCGCCGTGCGTGGACCCGTCGGGACACGTACTCTACAAGCAAATGTCTTTCTCATTTCGTCATCATCTGCTCTTGCCGCCGCTCTCGCATCCGCCCCGTGCTGTTTTTGCCCTGCCCTGGCTCGCGTTCCCTATTGTGGTCCTTCTGCGTTGCGCGCGCGCGCCCTTGCTGCCATTCGACCCGTCGGCCCCCCTGCGCCTATGCGCTGCGGGCGGCGCCCAGCCGACAGAAAACGATCGCCCCGACAAAATTGGCCGACAAAAAACCGAACCGCCCCGACAAAAAAAAACACCCCGACAAAAAAAATCGGCCCGACAAAATGGGCCGACAAAAAAAAAAGTGGGCCGACAAAAAAAACGACGGCCGCGACAAAAAAATCTGACCGACCCAAGAAAGTGTCGCGACAAAATCGTTCCTGGCTTTCGCTGCGGGGCGGATTCATTGTAATTTCACAATTAGGATGCACCCCCCTGGACCCCGCGGCAATTTTGTTCGACGGTCCGGGCGGGCATTTTGTCGGTCAGTTTGGTTGGGCTGTTTGTCGAAGCGATCTGGTGCATCCACGAGGTCGAGCCGCGCAACGCAGCGCTTTCGTGGCAGCGCGGTTCGCCGAAGGCGCTGGTGCGTCGCCGAAAGCGACAGCCAGGTTCCTTTGGCAGGAGGGCTGGCGGGGAGGGGTGGAATGGGGGCTGCGCGCGAATGAGGGGGGGGAGGGGCAATGCGGCGAAGAGGAGGATGAGTCGGAAGGCGTGGATGAAACGGGGAAAAGGAGGGGGAAGGATAATGAGGGTGGTTGAGGGGGGCCGGGGACGCTCAGGGCCCCTCGCGGGGCCCTCTCGGAGCCGCCCCGGGGCTCTCCACGCGCCTCTGAAGACACCGAAAGGGCCCCAAGATAACCCCAAGAGGGCCCCAAGAGAGCCCCAAGAGGGGCCCTGAGAGTTCCCCCCTGCTGTCAAGATGGCGGACCTTGCCGCTGGGGTCTGCGGTGGAGATCCCTATGGAGCCGCAAGCCGTTTGATGGGTGCGCTCAAATGGAGCGGCGTCGCCTTGTGGACCCTGCCACTGGCGCCTCTGGTGGGGCCCCCTTTGGGGCCACGGAACGATGCGTTGGGCGTGCCGAAAGAAAGAAATTATACAGGGAGGGGCAGGAACGGAAAACAGGGAGAAGAGGGAGGAAGGAGGGGGACGACGACGAGGAAGGGGGAAGGGGAAGAGAAACGATGGGGCCGGAAGGAGGGGGGGCGAATTAGTAGGGCGAGGTGGGAGGGGGAGGGGAAGACGTGAAAAAAGAGGGAGGGAGGGCCAGGGAGGGGGAAAGCCAAGGAAAAGGGGAGGGATGGGGCAGGGGGGAGGGTGGACGAAGTAGCAGGGAGGAAGAAGAAAGGGTGATAAAGGGAGAGGGTTGGAAGATGAGGGAAAACCGTGAAACATCGTTGCAACCACCAGCCCCAACTTGTCCGCAGCAGGGCCCAGATTTCTCCTCGACGCCCCTTCGAGGTTCCCACGAGTGCCACCTGAAGGCCCATGACGCCGCCGAGAACGCCCACGAGGTTTTGCAAGTTTTGCACGAAAGCGCCCAAGGCATTTTGGAAATCCCCTCACACAAAAAAAAAAAAAAAAAAAAAGCGAAACCTGCACCAACATCCAAAAGGCTTGCGACCCACAGCGCCGGCATAGCGGCGGGGTTCGCCACAGGCATCGGAACGCCAACGCCTTCCCCCCCCCCAATTTCCGATGGGAACTTCCTGGGGCGAACTCCACGCAGCGCTCGCCCCGGCCGAACGACGCCCCCCCCGAAGGGTTGGACCAGGCAAGCTGAACTCGGGGATGCCCGCCACCATGTCCCCTCGCTCTCT